GCTCTTCCTTCTGGAAGCGAATCGGCCGACTGGTGGCTCTAAAATACAAAAGAAAGACACATATTTCAATCTGAATAGAAATTATACAATTACAAACTGGACATAATTTGCAACGAATAATGTTGCCGCCGAGAAAGAAAGGAAAAGAGTTCCCGAAAAAAGCAAAAAAAAATAAAATAAAATGAAATAAATAAATAAAATTATCAGCCACTCAATTATGTAAAATGCAAAAGGTTACGCGTTGGCTCGTTTTAGTTCCCGCAGCCGCGGCAAAATCCGGTCTCCGGTAATTACGAGAGAGGAATAAATTGCAGCTTTAACATTTAAGAGTTCTCGACATTAGCATTTTGAGTGGTGTCGCACGCAGAAATCGTGTATCTTTCGAACTTTATACCGTAAAATCGCCGTTAGATTTGCATCCTCGATCTCATCGATGCACTCGCGATCCCTCGGCAAATTTCACTAATATCGATTTCTTTTTTCGTCTTTTTGTTTTCATACAAAATAACTTCACGAGATATCAATATTATTCTTTCGTTTCAAAACACTATATTCGCGGATACATTGAACGCAATATCATATCATCTGCCTTTAAGAGATTTCTCTCGAGAAGGATTTTATTCCATCTTTTCGTTCTCATCTCAATTACAAGAGATATATCTTTTTCCGCTGTCATATATAATACAAAAGTTTTCCTTACGTTAGGGATTCAAAATTGTAATTCTACACGAAGACAAGAGAATCGATTTTAAAAATGCAAAAATTTACCACAATAACTCGAAAAAAAACAGCAAAAAAAACAAGTAATTTTAATAACTGCATTAAAAAAAAATCGTGCCTCTTGACGTTTGACAGATGTGGAATTCGCGAATAAACTGTCGATTTTTTCGACCGTTTATTTCTCCTTCGGAGATAAATGAAGTTGAATGTCGGAAAAGCGATTATCCGGACTCCTATTCGGATAATGAGACATGTGGTATATTCGCACCTTTATCATCCAGCGGCTCGATGACGGAGAGCGACATTTGGCCCGCGGAGGAAAGGAAGACACACACAGAAGAGAGAGAGAGAGAGAGAGAGAGAGAGAGACGAACACGCAAGGGAGAGACTTTTGCCCTTCTCCCGGTGTATATCAACGTGTATAACACGCTTACGCACACTTTTCGACACTTGTGACACCGAGAAACAAGTTTATATCGATGCGGGGAGCGATATCCCGTATCTGCTTACGAATGACTCACGCGCATGAATTTATCACAATAATCACGCGGGGGATGAAATATCGATGCGGCGCGAAATAAATGTCTCTGAAACACACACACCCATGTATAAGAGATAAACAATTTTCCGCGACAACGCGCACACGTTTATTTACAATTTAAGCAATAATACATTCATAGATATTTCTCTTGATTTCTTACGACATTTCTCGCCTTTTCCCGTTCTACATCAGCGTGTAAGACATTACATCGAACGATTAAACGAGAATCGAGATGCATTAACATCTTGAAAGAAACTCGCGACTATAAAAAATACTTCGGGAGAGGAAAGTGACATTTACGAGATATCGCATCTTTTACCGATCTTACGTTTTCTCTGAAAGAAGGCGAAAAGGGAAGATGGTAAACGCGAGAAGAGCGTGGCTGAAAAAAAAGAAAAAAAAAAACGAAAAAGAAAGAAATCCGAAATCGCGCCGGTTACTGGAGACGGATGACAGATGAGACACGCGCTCGTGTTATGCCGGTTAAACGCTGGACCAAACTGTCGAAACTACCGCGCGCATCCGAGAATCTCGCCTCGCGACAGCGCCTGACAGCGGAAAATAGCGAGAGTTTTCCCAAACCGCGCGCAGGCCTCGGGGAAAAGTCCGGCGAGATCGGAGCCAAAGTGTTACGTCTGGATCTTTAACCGACGTACCACCGAGTACGTACCGTCTACGCGCGTCACATATATATATATCTCTCTCCAATGGACGAGATTCCTCGGGCGCGTCTCGAGGCACAGAGAGACTGCTCTCACCCTGCGCGACGCTCTGATAATATCTTCAGCTATTTAGGGGAAGGAAGATGGCGGGGTGTCTGGTAAACCACGTGAGAGTGAGGCCTGGAGGGATTCTGATCGATTATCGGCTTCAATCCGTCAAAAACCGAGATATGCGTCTGTCAAACGTGACAGTTCAATTGGGAATAACTTATTAATACTCCACAATTTTCTTATCAGCGAGGTATAAATCGTTCAGATGATTTCGTTAAACTCATGATCAAATAACTTGACGAAGAAATTTATATTAGAGAGAGAGAGCGAGAGAGAGAGAGAGAGAGCGAGAGAGAGAGAGAGAGAGAGAGAGCGAGAGAGGGAGAGAGAAGGAAGACAATTTCAAAGCCTATTTTCATTTTCCTAATCAATGATGCGTGATAACCCGTATAATTTAATATAAAAAAACAAATTTTTTTTCTGTATAAAACTGTACTAAGTACACCTTTCCTTCGACTAATCGACAGACAAGGGGATTCTAATAATAACTTAAAAACATTTATCTTTCGATCAAGTCTCTCTCTGAGATTTAAGGGATTTCTTCCTCGAAGTAAAAAAATCAAAAA